TATATATATATATATATATATATATATTATACATACCATATCCTCTAAGAAAATTTGTAGTTTCATCACTAGGAAGAGCATTCACCCCTTTTAATAAATTCTTAATGCATTAACTATATTTTCTAGGGCTGTACGAGCATCTGAAGCTCTCAAAATTCCTGAAGGAGCCTTTAGTGCAGACAAAGCATAGTGACTGACACACAATCTTTAGCTTCTTGCACACTGTCCCCTGCCATGATCATTTTGATGGGATCTGGAGTGAAAGATAAAAGTGCATGTACAACTACTATTTACTTTTTATATCAATGCAATACTAATTAATATCAATGAAGATTGAAGCAATGGAAATGAAATATCAAAGTCAGAATATGAGCATAACAAAGTCACAAAATACATTATGGTGTATCAATACTCACTTTCTTATAATCACAGTTATCCATACAGTCTCCTGCTGCTTCTACAACTTCCAAGAGTGAGAGGTCTTTTTGAAGATGCAAGATCACAGGAGCTGAAGTTAGGTCAAACGACGTTCCAGGAGGATGTCGATACAAATCAGTAAATGGCTGTAGGTCACTGTAAGACTGCAACAAAGAGACCGTATACTAAGAAATCTGATTACTCAAGAGGGGTCTTACAACAGAACCCACCTTTGATCATCTATTTGTTTTTTAATTCACATTCCTTTAAGTATACACAGTTAATTTAAGATCAGGAGTCCACAAAGTTAACTTAAAAGCACCTGTGCTGATTTTTAGGGAAAAAACATGTAGGCTATTTTCAACCCTTTGTACTTTGTGAATTTCACTGCACACAGATGGTTCCCGTAAGTGCTCAAGGTGTCAATTTCTGTGTCCAACATGACTTCACCTGATACCCGCATTCTTTGAATTATTGTTTTTCTTTTTTCTAATTCTAATAATATTGATATGATCATTCTTATCATTGACAATATTTAATCATTATGTTTTTAAAATACTACCACAAATAAAAAAGAAAAGGGTAAACAGGTGAGATGGGTAAGATATCTAATTGGCCCCTTGGTGGTTAAGTACTTGTGGAGACCTCTATGTGTAAACAATTGATAAATTAAAGTCACAGTGGACATAGCATGTACATCATGCCATATCAACACCAAGGGTTAAAACAAAAGTCAAATCAAATGTGCAAAAATCTGAAAAAAAAAAAAAATAAAAAAAAAATAGACCATCTGATAAACTCAAGAATGTACTTTCTACTGGATATAATAATAATGTATTCTGGCAATATCAGCATCATGTAACATCATGAATAATACCAATAGTCAGATCTAGAAAAATATTAGCAAACAGGTAATCCTGACCTGAAGAAACCATATACATGCCACTGTATTGTTTTTTCAATGGTTGCATAGCATATTAATGGTAACCTAGGTAAGCTCCATATTCCATAGAAAGCACAGTATTTAGTATTGGACTAAAAGTGTGACATTCATGCCTGAGTTCAGTATCAGTCATAGAGATTACTTATTTCAAATGATTTTGGCTCAAAAGTGAAAATTACAGATTCTTGTATATATGTGATTATTATATTATTAACTACTTTATGCAAGTAATAATTAGCAAAGTATCAAGGTTATCAACCTGAAAAAATACTATTATATTCTAACCTTAAGGGTACACATAAATGGGAAAGATCCATTGATAAAAGGGACATTGATAAAGCAAACAATACAAAAAAATCTGGAAGTATCCTTGTTGATATAAGAAACAAAAGGTACATTCCAAAGTGAAAATATGACTTTTATCAAGTAGTTATACATAAAAAATTGATGTCAGTCCAATCATGTGAAATACAGTGGTGATATATTGTATATGTTGTGTAACATCAATGTACTTTAATACATTAATTTTGAGCTTTCTTCAACTCTTACAAAAGTTTTAAAACCAGAAACTAATCTTACCTGCCAAGCTAGGGCTATGTGCTTCCCAAACTCAAATCCATGATGCTGTTTTTCCTCCTCATGGCCAGCTAACACCAAAGCTGCTTTGCAAGATTTAGCCATCAAACTCCCTAAAAAAAAGTAATGGGTTCCTCAAAACAAAAACTAAATAAAAGTCATACATTTCTTCATGGCTTAAATTTAGAATGCAAAACTTATTTGCCATACAACTTATCTTCCATTCAGAGAGAGAGAGAGAGAGAGACGAAAGAGAGAGAGAGGAGAGAGAGAGAGAGGAGAGAGAGAGAGAGAGAGAGGAGAGAGAGAGAGAGAGAGAGAGAGAGAGAGAGAGAGAGAGAGGAGAGAAAGAGAGAGAGAGAGAGAGAGAGAGAGAGAGAGAGAGAGGAGAAGAGAGAGAGAGAGAGAGGAGAGAGAGAGAGAGAGAGAGAGAGAGAGAGAGAGAGAGAGGAAAGAGAGAGAGAGAGAGGAAGAGAGAGAAGAGAGAGAGAGAGAGAGGAGAGGAAAGAGAGAGAGAGAGAGAGAGAGAGAGAGAGAGAGAGAGAGAGAGAGAGAGAGAGAGAGAGAGAGAGAGAGAGAGAGAGAGAGAGAGAGAGAGAGAGGGAAAGAGAA